GTGTCTTGATTGGTCCAGAAAGCAGGGGAGTAACTAACTCACAGTGTCCATTTTCAATCCTTGTCATCAGGAGGCAACCATCTGTGTTATGCAAGAATTTGGCTTCAACAGGTCCCTGCTTCCAAGTACTCTTGTCTTGACCATAACTCTCAAATCAGAAGTCACAGAACAGTCAGAAGGCTTGCATCACACAGCTATCCAGATGCAATGGACTGAGCAAAAGTTCAGAAATTCTGTAAACTGAAAGTATGATTAAACACATAATTGAATTACATATAAACTCTGGGGGAGGCAGTAAATTATTTGGTCAAGATTTTCCTGGGTGTTACCGTCTGACCTTCTAGGCTTCATGAAATCACATTGACTGGCAAGCTCCTTTGCAAGTTCTGCCAATGTGTCTTGTCAAGAAGATGTAACTCTTTCTTCCAAAGCAACAGCCAACCCTTCTTGGTTTCCCATACCTAGTATGTGATTGTGAGCAGTTTCCCTCCCCTTCTAAGGGAAGTCTATCATTACTGCATCATGTGAAAGGAGAATGAGGAAGGGGAGAGAGTGGAATCATTAGTAGGCAACTACGTCAGTCAACATCTGGGCTTGTAAATAAAAATATAAAATGGGGTGGTGTGCATCCCATGATGACTTCTGGTTTGCTTCCAGAGTTATTAAATTTGCAAGAACTTTTATGAGACTGGTGTGAGACCAGATGGATGTGGAGAAACATCTAAGAATCACTATCTTTCGTAGACGCGCCTGGCGCCGCAGAATCAAATGAGAACTCCCAAGGTTTCTAGGGTGTGCCACAAAATATTGACAGCCGTGACAATGCTTTTTCCAACTGCAGTATAGTAGACGGCTTGGCTGCTGATGCACCTGCTGTTTGCTTTATGGTGCACTGTGTTCTGGATGGCGATGGCGATGAATTAGGTTTCTTACGCACCCTTCACCATAAAATCTCAAGACAAGTAACAAGGGCAAAAGCAATAAAGTTTAAAACAAAGTCAACCATCAAGATGGGGTGAGTACACACGGAACCTGAAAGCAGATTTAATATATCCCATGTTTTCATGTCATTTGCACAATGCTGGCCTCTCTTTCCTCAAATTTAATTTGGATTTTCCCAGTCTGTGGATAATGCAGCAAGAGAGGGAAAATCCAACATAGTCACATGTTACTTAACTGTCGATGGACTGAAATTTGATGTGTGGGCAAGGTTTTGAGGGTCTTTTTACATTAGCACCACCCATGGGTGTCATCTAGCACCAAATCCCCTACTTTTGCTGATGAGGCAATCCTCAGTTGGGCGGCTAGTGGGACCAGACACAAAATTCTTCTTTGCATGTAGATCTGAGGTTCAATCCCTAGCATCTTGGAAGCCTGGAGAACCACAGTCAGTCATTGTTGACAATCCAAAACTAGAAGGGCCAAAGGATTTACTGGGTGTAAACTGAATAAGAGGAGTATCATTTAGGAAGGGCAAGACATGTATAATGTCAGGCTTGAGGGAGTCTCTCTTCCCCCCGGTAGCATCAAGGATCAAGGAAGAAGCAAGAAAGTTTGTATTTATGGTTTTATTCAGTTATCATGGTGCAAGACAAAGAATCCAGTCATCAACTCCATAGTGACGTTGCTTACTCTGAGCTACTCCCCTTCTTTTCCCAGCAATAGCTATGGGTGGCCTCAGGAATCAAATGTCTTTGAGCCCTTTGCTCTTGAGTGCTAAGTGAGCGGCACGTACCCAGGGATGGTGGCAATTGTCCCACCCACCCCTCCTTCTCCTAACACGCCATAACTTGGCAGCTCTGAATTCTGCTGCAATTCAGTCCTGTATCCCTCTTCTCTTGAAACTACTGGAGAAGGGGGTGTGTGTGACCCCCCCACTCCTCCTCCTCCTCCAAGGGAAGCAGAGGAGAAGGAGGGGGCGATTCCCAGCCTTCCCCTTCAGTCCAGTCTCTGACATGTAAATACATGCATGTATGTGTGTTTTGCCCCCTGTTTTCCAAACCACTTATGATCATTACTCAGGAACATCAGCATCTAATTCTAGCAAGTTCAATACTTCTACACATATACAGTAAATCTTGTGGCTTACTCCCGAGATATGTTTCGCTCTCAAAGATAGTTACTAGTTATACCAAGCACACCAATGGAATAAAACATGTGTGTGTGTGTGTGTGTGTGTGTGTGTGTAGAATGTTAAGGAATTTGACTATAATTAGAATTTGACTATAATTAGAATATTGTTTTTGAAACATGATATTGGAAAACTGCTACATTCAGTTACAAGGAAATTCAGATAGGAAGGATTAGAGGAAGTCAAGCAATATGTTTATGAGGTTGGAATTTTAATTAATTAATCTGTATTGTTTAAATTTTTTTATTGTGATTTGTTGTATTTGTTTCATTTCCTACTTGTTCTTTTTTATTTTTGTCTCATTTGTTTTATATGTGTAAGAAACTTAATAAATACTATTGGGGGGGATAAAAATAAAATGTGTGTGTGTGTGTTAAAGAGCAACTGACATGCATGGATAGCAATTCTGAGGTTTAAAAAGTAACAGCAACAAGTACCTTGAAAACACATCTATCTGTAAAGGTAAAGGTAAAGGGACCCCTGACCGTTAAGTCTAGTTGTGGACAACTCTGGGGTTGCAGTGCTCATCTCGCATTACTGGCTGAGGGATCCGGCATTTGTCCGCAGACAGCTTCTGGGTCATGTGGCCAGCATGACTAAGCCGCTTCTGGTGAACCAGAGCAGCACACTGAAATGCCGTTTACTTTCCTGCCAGAGCAGTACCTATTTATCTACTTGCACTTTGACGTGCTTTCTAACTGCTAGATTGGCAGGAGCAGGGACCGAGCAACGGGAGCTCACCCCATCGCGAGGATTCAAACCGCCAACCTTCCGATCAGCAAGCCCTAGGCTCTGTGGTTTAGACCACAGCGCCACCCGTGTACAAGTCCTTTAAACCTTGCTGGGAATGTGGTCCCATGCATCTCAAACCTCCCATCACTTAAATCTCAAATGGCACCCTAACTACTAGAACATGTAACTGACTATTATACTGTCTGAAATTGACCAACCTGTTGGGAACTGGATTCTGGCTGCTGTACAGCTTCTTAGAGTATCCAATGACCATGTCTCTGTTTTTAAAGCAGAAACTAAAGATGGGCAAAGTTTTGTCCGATGAGCAGTGTTTTCCATTGGCTTGAGGCCTGGACCCAGCAACCTTCTGGCTTCATGTAAATTACATATATTATGGATTATTTACAGCATTGGCTGCAACCTTTGTTGGCTCCCATATACAGGTCTATTGTTACTTTTTTTAACCATTCCGTTGTGCAGAATTTTGGCCAGTCCTCAGAACCAGCTGTGCTAGTCCTCCACACAGGTTGTGGTTAGCTAATGCCCAGAAGTCTTGCAGAAGTGTCCTTGAGCCATATTTTGGGAGAGTGGGCTTCTTTCAAGAATGAGGATCTAGAATAAGAATGACTGCACACAACAACAACAACAACAACAACAACAACAACAACAACAGCCACCAAATGGTACAAAATGACAGTCTTTTCTGTTCTGAGAGTCATTGCAATATTGCTGATCGCTGTATAACTATGTGTGTTAGAGTTTTACAAGGCTCCTTGGGGAGCCACAGCAACTTGGCTAACTTTAAGGACTATATTTTGGCCTGGCCAGCTCTGATCCTGGAGCCTTTAGTGTCTCAGCATTCCTCAGGTTGCTAGAAATGTTTGCGTTCCCTTACTGCTTTCAAATTTCTGTCAGATGCACTTAGATACACAATGCATTTATGATGCAGTAAAGGCAGCTACTGGGACGCAGGTGGCGTTGTGGGTTAAACCACAGAGCCTAGGGCTTGCCGATCGGAAGGTCGGCGGTTCGATTCCCCTTGACGGGGTGAGCTCCTGTTGTTCGGTCGCTGCTCTTGCCAACCTAGCAGTTCCAAAGCACGTCAAAGTGCAAGTAGATAAATAGGTACCGTTCCGGCGAGAAGGTAAATGGCGTTTCCGTGTGCTGCTCTGGTTCGCCAGAAGCGGCTTAATTGTGCTGGCCACATGACCCGGAAGCTGTACGCCGGCTTCCTCAGCCAATAAAGCAAGATGAGTGCCGCAACCCCAGTTGGCCACGACTGGACCTAATGGTCAGGGGTCCCTTTACCTTTACCTTTAAAGGCAGCTGCTGGCTGTGCAACCATACTCCCAGTTAGTAACTGTATGATTCTATAATAAAATGCATTACTTTTTTTTTTTTTTACATGAAGTGGATGGTGGGTTTACTTGAACCTCCTCATGTGCTTATTTCATGAAATAAAAACACTGCTTGATTGCTGTGGCTTTTTAAAGCAGCTTACAAAAAGATGTGTTGTAAGAATGCACGAGAAGCTCAAGGGTTCGTGCTACATAGCTCCACCCTCTGCTGCTGGATTGGACTGGGCAATAGCGAACAATGTAGCAGGGCACACAGCTATGGGGATGAAAGGGGAGGCCAGAGTGGCGCACATTCCTTTTTAATATTAATATTTCTTTATTGAAAATGCTTCAATTATAAAGAAATAAAGTGATGCAAAGAAAAAGAGAAAAATGAAAGAAAAATAAACTGCATGAAAATGTGTAAAAATGAAACAATATATGCTTATAAACAATAAGTTTGAAATAATAATAATAATAATAATAATAATAATAATAATAATAATTTATTTATTTGTACCCCACCCAACTGACTGGGTTGCCCCAGCCACTCTGGGCGACTTCCAGCATATATGAAAACATAGTAAATCATTAAACCTTAAAAAGCTTCCCTATAGAGGGCTGCCTTCAGATGTCTTCTAAAGGTTGTATAATTACTTATCTCCTTGGCTCTGGGGTCAGATAACTCTATACTGTCCAACACGTCTCTGATTAAAAAAGGGATGTTGTAAGGAAAAGTGGGACATACCGGGTTCAAATAAAAAACTGGGATGGCTTCTTTAAATCTGGGACTGTCTCTAGAAATTAGGGACACTTGGAAGGTCTGCTCTCTCTCTCTCTCTCTCTCTCTCTCTGTGTGTGTGTGTGTGAGAGAGAGAGAGAGAGAGAGAGAGAGAAATATTTCACAATTGGGGGGGAAACCACAGAAATTGTGCATTCCTTAGGTAGGGACAGAAAGGAGAGAAGAATAAAATATCCATACATCAGTAACGATGCAACGGTGGCAGTGGGGTCTGTATGGGTTCAATAAAAGACAGAAAATCCTAGAGAGAGAGAGTAACCTACAGAAACTCAGCAATCTGAAGCATAGGAAAATATTTTTCCATGGAACATTTAATCCATCAAATTCTTTCCTTCCTCCTTGCTGGAAATAGAATAAGTAACTGGATGTAGGCCTAAGTATGGGGCTGGAAACAAAAAGAGCAGGAGGAGAGAATTAAGGCTCCTCAAAGGATTAGTCCAGGGCATGGTGGGTTAAAATGATCAGGGAAAGCTTTGATCAATCTCGTGCAGTCTTGCTGCAAAAAACAACCTGTTGAAGGTGAATGCATTGGATCAAATTCATGAGCGTTGCTTGCTTGTTAGTTAGCCACAGCATTGACTATTACTGGAAAACAGATGAATGCTAGGGACAAGTGTTTATGCCTCCCCAAGTAAAATGAAAGCACAAAGAAGGTGACTTGCTTGGAGTATTTATCTCTCAGTTTTGCTAGGTGTTGGGTTGAAGACACTGAGGTGTGTACAGTGTGGAAGGAAAGAACTCAGTGGAAAAATAAATATCAAGCAATAGGAAGGAGTTCCACAAACAATATTGGAGAGGTGGGGGGCAGGAGGAATTAGAGACAAGATCATATCTCATGTAGCAGTTTGTTTCCCCAGAGATTCAACTTACTTTAAGGGACTTGTGTATGGAAATTAAACATGTGACTAAACATTAAACTGATTCCCCAATTATTGTTTAAATGCCTCCCATTATGACTCCATTTCATGTTTATGTACACCAGGAATGTGGAGCACAGTGACCCACCCATTGGAGTACAGTAATATTCAGAGAGTGACAGGTTCCCCATCCCCAAGTGCAGCATGCGCAATCCAAACATCCAACCACCCATTGTTTAATTTGCAATGACCTAAAGCGAGCAATAATTAAATCCAACACAAAACTCCATGAAGAAAATTCCAAGCACCTGGTTAAAAATTGTGCCTAAAAATTAAATGGATAATGACATTAAATACTCTGTTCATTTGAGAATGTTTCTGGTCCAGGGCTTTCAAAATGAGGCAGGCTGGCAGCAAGGGCAGGCACTACCCAGCGGCGGAGGAAGCCACTCGGGCATCTGGGGCGGTGCGCGCCGCCCATAGGAGTGGCGCACACCACAGGGCCTCCAGAGTCTGCCTGCCTCCTTCCACTCAGCCGCCCTACAGCTGGAGGGAGGCAGCGGGGAGACCGTTTGGGCAGGAGAGACATGTGGCTCGGGTGCGCGGCAGGCCCCACAATGAGTGCCGCCCGCCATTTTGTCACCCCCCTCAGTGGTGACATCCGGGGCAGACCGCACCCACCGCACCCCCCTTCCTCCGCCCCTGGCACTGCCTTCTCTCCACACCCTGAATTTCATAACTATGCAAGGCCCCAGAATTGGTTCGAGGAAAAGTTGTTTGCCTGCTCTCTGAGCATTTTGGCACCTTTTAAAATATCATTACCAAATATTACATGATGGTTCCTGAGATCACAGAGCTGAAGAACCTTTATTTGCATCAGCCACTAACCATAGCAATAAAATAAATTAAAAATGCACTGAAGAGAGAGGTGAAAACTTAACTGTACAAAATACATTCTGGAGGTTTACATCAATAATCAAATAATAGATCATTTTCTAATTGCCCCTGCTAAAAAAATTGCAGTTTTTGTTGTCACCTGGTTATCTTGATCTGCTAGAAGAAAGGACACAGTAGCAATGGTTGAGTGACCCGGCATGGACAATAATAGAGGGGTAATAACCTCACTCCTTAAATCTTTATAAAGAGTGTAAGTCAGAAGCACATGAGCTACTAACTCAATACTGCCATCTCCACAGGGACATAACCGTTTTTCCAGCGGAACTTTTTGAAATCTCCCCTCAAGTATGACTAAAGGCAGTATTTAATCTTGCGTAAGTGAAAGCGTGTCTGTGTTTTGGAATTCTTGAATTTTGCAAATAGGGTGCCAAAGGTGTCAAAATGACTAGGTGGAAATAATCATACCATCAACAAAACTTCCTTATCGTGGCCAAATTATTCTGTCGCTCAATATCATATAAGGTAAAGGGACCCCTGACCATTAGGTCCAGTCGTGAGCAACTCTGGGATTGCGGTGCTCATCTCGCTTTACTGGCCGAGGGAGCCGGCGTACAGCTTCCAGGTCATGTGGACAGCATGACTAAGCTGCTTCTGGCGAACCAGAGCAGCGCACGGAAACACCGTTTACCTTCCCGCCAGAGTGGTACCTATTTATCTACTTGCACTTTGAGGTGCTTTTGAACTGCTAGGTTGGCAGGAGCTGGGACCGAGCAACAGGAGCTCACCCGGTCGCGGGGATTTGAACCACCAACCTTCTGATCGGCAAGTCCTAGGCTCTGTGGTTTAACCCACAGCGCCACCCGCATCCCTCAATATCATATAGGTGGTGTCTAATCAAATTATTTGCTTTACTGAAGTCCAGTTGTGGTGATAAACCAGAAAAGTAAAAGTTTTGGTTGACAATTTTAGTCCAAGCGCTCTCATGACAATCTTGTGATATTAAGGGTAGTAGATTCACAGAGCAGTCTTTCATTAATTTTGGGGAACAACTGGACTGCATTTTGAATCAAGATGGTTGACGGAACCTTTCCAAACTGCTCTGATGGTTGGGTTTCTTAAAATTCCCAAGCAATGTTGGGTTTGACACTGCTGTAATAAATACATATCTAGGAGAAAATAAAGGGATGCATCTGGAGGACACCAAACCCATTCTCAGTTTCTGGTGAACTTAAGTCATGTTTTCCCCCTTCTGCATAGTTCCATCCCTGACTCTGTTCCTTGATCACACAGTGAAGGATGACAGAATGTTGGGCAAGTGAGACGGAATATTTGGGAGCTGGCTTTCATAGAGAAAAATGGTTTTCTCAGAGATTATTTGATTGGCACAGCTGAGCTGAGGCAAACGTCGGCACTTTCGAAGGCTACAGTCCTCAAAATATTTGCGGCTACTATGGTTGTCCCTAGAGAGAGGGCGTAACGTATACAGTTGAGGAAATCGTTTCTGAATTGTACCAACTCTTCTGAAAGGCGCATTACAACTTGTGTTCTTGGAAGCTACAAGAGTTCACGCACTAAGGCAGAATGCTAGATTAGCCTCCCTCCTCCCCACAATGCCTCTTTTTGGACAGTTGTTCTTTGGGTTTGCTGGAGCATGAAAAATATCAGCTCTCATGCCAATGGAATCCCACTTCAGCAAAGAGGTCAATAGCTAAGCATTATAGGGCTACATATCTGAGGACATTTAAATGTTTCTCACCAAATCCTTTGCATTTTTGTCACTATTTTAATCCTCTAGCGCCAACACTTCCTTATCTGCATGGTATTTTTTTAAAAAAAGCATTATACTGGTATACAAAAGGGGAGGGGGGAAGTAAGAGAAAAATTAATTGTTTATGCAACTTAGAACTACAAAGCACATGATGCAGTGTGACAGGAGTGACGGTATGCAAGTTTAAACAATTGGTAATGTTGAATGAACAGACTTGGTTTTCTTTTCTTTTTTCCTGGAACTGGCATCACCAGCCTGATTTTCTGCAGGATGAAGAAACAGAACTAATTCTCCTAGTGAGTTTTGTACAGGCTTAATGACTCACCAAAGAAGGAAAATATATAAGGTAATTTCTGATATTTATATGGGGCTACTTTATGTAATTGAAAAAGAAAACCGTACAAATCAAAATGAAATAAAGACGATCAGCGAAATTCACCTAAGGAGCTCTTCAGCAGAAGCCCTATGCAAGGACTTCTGCTTATGCAATGGGGCTCCCCCCTCCCCCTGTGCCCCCAAAATTGGCTTGTGGGGAGGTCAGGAGAGCCCCCAAAGCAGATAGGAGGAGGAGGAGGAGGAGGAAAAAAACAATCGTTCTGCCTGGCAAACTGAAATGCTTGCAAGGATGGCAAATCTGTAATAGCGCAATACTAAATTCCACCCTTTTACATTTTCTTCTCCTTTGAAAATGGATGTGAGTGTCAAACTCAGATTGAGACGTGAAGTGTAGAATGAGGTCTGCTACACGTGCGTGTCCTATTTCATTCCAGCGGTGTGGTACGCTACTATGTTAATGAATAGAAAAACTTACGAACAACTGAAATGGCAAGCGGGTGAGTGAAGCTCACTTCACGCAGCCAATAACTTCTGGAGCCAGAAAGAAAAGGAGTTGCAATTTTGTGCCAGGGAATATGCTTCTTCTATCAACAACATGGCAGGAGGTCAGGCAAAGAAAGATCACAGCAACACGTAATGAGGGGGAAAGTGTTTGGGGGGGATATACTTTCCCTTTTGTGCGGTTGGGGGAAAATGATATATAGAAGATTGCAGATTGTGATGGTTTCCGTAATGTTTCTAATCATAGGGTGTCTTACACTTCCACTTAAACATTTGGTGTTGATATTTTCAAAACACAAAATTTAATTACGTGTGTGAGTGTGTGAATTTTAACGAACTTGTTACACCCCAGAGATTCAGCTGGCTACCCCCAGTACATAAATCTTTCTAGAAGCGTTAGTCAGGCATCTTAGACTACTGTTTGCTTTGAAGCCAGATGATTAGCTCAAAACTGAATGGGGAATTTTCTTAAAGCACAACACGAAACAGACTCCTTAGCTTCCAGCCTTACAGTCTGGCATTAAAATGAGAGAGTCTGAGGATAATAAATGCGAAGAGTTGTAGCAGCCAAGCAGCAAAATGCATGGAGTCAAACTGTTAGGATTTTCTTCCTCCAAATTCTTATATCCTACATCTCTGTCCAATTCCTTTTAGGGACGAGCAGCCCTGAAGGCATTCTTTTACAAAATCCCTTACTTGCTGGATGCATCTTTTGCTAGCACTCACACTGCACTAAGGGTTTTGTAGTGTTACAGCTGC